TATTTGTCATTGGGTGGTTGGAGAATACAACACTAAATCACACACAAACATCAGTTATGAGCACATCAATATGGAATCGGAACTAGACTTAATTGACGAAGTAAATGACACAGTATCCTCAATTGTTTTAACATCAACATAGAATTGACCAAAACATGGGCATGTAAACTGGAAGAAACTCACTGTGCAAGCCATAATGACTATTCATAATGAAATAAATGACCAATACAGTTTGCATTCATCCAACAGGTTAGAAATTATTCATTTCCAATAAGCAACCACCCTATTGGTCAATTTGTGGATATGGGAAATTCCACCAATCAATTGATTCATCTCCACTATATAAACAGCAGCAGCCAGCAGAAGCAACAGCGTTTCATTGAGATGTCAAGTGTCCCATTTGAGCTATTATTATTACCATTTATATTAGATGGAATGCTACATCCATCAACCATTTGATGTATGAATTGCAGATAGACGTTACCTTTCAAACTTCTCCTTATTTACAGCTCGAATCGAAATGGTGCAATCTGTATTCTGGACTGATTGAAAACGCTACGATAAACATCGATTCAACTGACCATGTGACTGGAGGAAGAGTGTGTTGTAAGTTGAAGTCATGTTTATGATGGTCATATTATAAATAGTAATCATAATCATAATGAGGAATGTTTCGAATATCCAGTGTAATTAAGGTCAGTGTAACATGGATTATATGATTGAGGGTAGTTTTGTTGTATTTTATTTCGGTGAACTGAAATGACATAAATCATTTGTGAATATGTAGTTGGCATCAAGAATGAAGTAAATGTTTTCATACAAAGTTGATCAGTAGATCTTAGCTAATTGTTATCGATAAATGCACTGTATGTCCATTATCCATAGAAATGTCAGTCAGTCAGTCAGTCAGTCAGTCAATCAGTAAGCAACGGTTGACGGACGTTACAGAAAAGTGTTCAGTGAAGTTGAACAGTGAAATACGTTTTATCACAGTGTGTGTATTTGAAGTTCCAGAGTACATTCTCGGAACGTCAGATATTCTAATTAGCTTTAACTTACAAATTATTCATAACATCACCAACCAGAATGTTTCAACTTCTCTCTTCGAAGCATCTCATTGCACTATTATTTTTGCAAAGATGCTTCACATATCTGATGTTCCTGGAATCACTAAATTGTAGACTATTTAGCACGATTGAATAAGAATGTTTGTGGTAAGTGAACGGACAAGTTTACACTATGAACTACGTATAATTCGTGGTAATCGCAATCACTCATCCTAATGAAAGTTCTTATTAAGTAAACTGTTTGCTGAATATCTATCTGTTGAATGTTAGATATCAGTGAATATTTTATTGCAGTTTTATGTTTGCGTAATTGGTTTGCTCTAATGTGAGTCAATCATCAGTGTACATCGGCAGCTCTTTCAAACCATTTTCCCCTTTACGCTCTTCTTCTTCTTCTCTTATTGTTCTTCTCTCCTTTTTCTTCTTCTACTTACATCCTTAAACCACTGTACATTCAATGTAATTTGTAAATGTTTGTGTTTATGCGTCTATTGACTATTGTATTGTAATCAACTGTATTGTACTGTACTGTACTATACAGTACCGAACTGTACTGTACTGTCATGTTATGCAATGTAATGTAATGTACTGTGCTGTGCTGTACTTTGCCATGTCAGATATTCTGTAACTAAATGTAAATAAACTATTCATTTGTTGTTTACCATGTGTTGTTCTTTGAAATTAATCACTGAATGGATGAAAAGACAATCGTTTGAATAGTAGTAATTGATTAGATGATGATGATTGGATCGTGTTTTCTTTCATGGATAACATTGAATTATGTGTGAATAATGTGAAGATGAACTGACGGAATTGTAGTTGACTGTAGAACGAGTAAGTTGACCGATTCGATTCTCTTAGTAAATGACACCAGTTGACTGATTTGTTGAAACGGGACATTCAAGCTACCGAACTTACTAGAACATCTTAACAGACCGATCATCATCGGAATTATTCCGTTCATTTGTTATAAGGGAATTAATTCATTGATTTCATAAACTAACATATGAAGCAGTAGACAGTTTGAATCTCGTGTTTATCAGTTCATCGAAGTTCGAATGAGAAGATCAGTTACTTCGTGTTAGGTCTATTGAAGCGTCCATGTCAGGCAATCGAGATACGCGCAAAACTGAACTTCGCATAACAACCAATTGTCTAGAATAACCGTCCTATATTGAATAATAAACGAAAATTAGTTACAAACCTCAAGTTGTGAGGTGTCTGTAGCATTTGACGTGTTTTTTTGTATGAAAGAAAAAGAGGCTTCCTGCAACAGTAACACAAAGAAGAATTACAACCTACGATAGAGCAAAAGACAGCTGGTAGTTTTGTCTATTGTGATTATATCTCAATTCTACAGGAGGTTCGTCACGGCTTGGATAGCTCAGTGGTATCGTGTCTGACTGTGAAGCTGGGTTATACGAGACCGAATCCTTCAGGCAGCACCAGTTCCCTCAAGATTACAGGTGTAGCTTGCTGACGAGTGCCAAGTATCACGAAACCGGGTCCAAGGTTTCCTGTTGACAACCTCCAACCATCATCTAAATCTCAATATATAATGCTCGCAGTGTCGAGTCACCTAGACTGGTGGCCACATTGCAACATGATCGATAGCATTTGGTCTGCACTAATAAGGACCAGACAAGCATGACATTGATCACCACCCGGTGATCAATCAATTGTGAAACTTGGTAACAGTTTATCAACATGCAGCAATCTGTTGAAATGAACTATTGGTTCAAAATAATATCCTGTTTCACGCCCATTGTAGTCTCACTTAAAATCAGTATAACTTCGTACATTGAAATATTTATTTATTCAAGAGACTGTAGTAGTGATTGGTGAGTCACGGTATTCTAGTGAATTGCATTAAAAGAATGAAATGTCGACATTGAATGTAGTAGGAGTAGGCTTGTAGAAACGTACAAATGGGTAGAATCGTACGTATATTTACTGACTGCTATTCATAACGGTTGTTTACATCACGGACAAATATTCATGGGAATTTCAACTGATTTACTTGTAAAACTGATATAAACTATTCGATTCACATCCAATTGTTTAGTATCATGAGCGTACTCTGAAACACAATTCAGCATGTAATAAGCATCAGTACAGGGAACACAAATGTACACTGAATCCCGATTACTGTCTATTGGTCGATGTATACGACGCAAGCAACTCCGCCTGTCGCTCTTCTTGACTTACTACCGGTCCGAAACAAGGTAAAGTAGGAGTGTTGAGCATGGGGTTGTCGACCTCATCGCGTAGAAATCTAACTCGCTAAAACAACGCTAACCAGAGAAATTAATTCAAACCATTTACACTCTGCCCTGGGAGTTAGAAGCTCCTCATATACTCATAAAATTGATATGATCTAATTCAATTTCACTTTGTGGAAGGCTTCTTCAAGCTCAGGTGTTCACCTCATTCAATTCGTGGGTGCAACAATTGAAGAATGTAGTATATTTTAACTTGTCCAATGACATGATGAAAATGTTCGACGTTAATTTAATAACACTTGTGTCATGCAAAATTACCAGTTGACTCCATTCCAGTGCATATTCACACAATTTTACTTGATCAAGTCCAGTTGATTGACAGCCACATGACACACACTATTCTGAAATCAGTCAGTTTGTATGTTATGCTGTTGTGAAACATTATTTGTGTTTGAGATTCTAGCTATCTTGATGAGTGAACTATTCAACATGAGTGAAGTACATAGTTGGATATTCAGTTGTTTGAGAGTTACGCTCAACGTGGACTGTATTGAACCTACGAAATATGGTTTACTTTTATTAATGATAGATATCAAGCTGAGATGTTTGATATCTTTTCAACCGTATGCAGTAGAAATCATGTTATTAGACAAGTTGAAATATGCTACATTCTTCAATTGTTGCACCGCCGAATTGAATGAGGTGAACACCTGAACTTGAAGAAGCCTTCCACGAAGTGAAATCGAATGAAATCAGATCAATTGGAAGAATGGGACATTTTGCCAAGTTCATTTCACTAAATGTTGATCATATTTCTTCTACAGTTAAGTAATCCTGTGATCAATTTAAAGCCTCATTCTCATTGATACTATGTGAGTGAGACTAATCATGCGATTGACTTTAACATATTTGCAATTGACATGTTGTCTGTTAGGTTCATTGTATTCTGTTCATTCGAGTAGTTTGACTAGCGTTTTGTATATTACTCTATACTACTACTTATCAGTATTGAGTAGTCTGTTTCGTTACCCATAACTTTATTGAATGCAGACATACTGATATCTGTCTTGCTATAGAATATTCTCAACCACATCCATCCACTGAACACATTCATTTGATTCATTTATTTATAATGAGTTTTCAACTAGTTCATCAGAGTTGATCCAAGTAATTATGATTAGTAGTTAGAGAAGAAGGAGTTTAACGTAGCAGAACACACATAGCATTTAAACCAATATGTATTATTGAAGTGTAGAATACACGTATTAGTGATTGAACGGGCAGAGAGAATACCTGTTGTCCTACTGACTTTACACAAAACAAAGTCAATCGAAGAATCAGTTTGTGAATTCATCGTGCACTGCAATCACATGAATAATTCATCCATTGCATCATTCATTATCCGATAGTCAGTAATGTCGACTGTCGATTCCACAAAATCATGATGTACATATATGATTGATGATTGAAGATAATTTATCATCATACCAGTTCATTGACGTCCTAATAAGAATAGCCCACGATATTGTTCTGTGTTGTACTTATAAGTAGTGATTGAGGCAACTGTGAAAGTGTACAGTTGTATTCAGTGATGAGAATGTGGAAATCAGGCAATGATGAACACGAGAAAGTAACGAAAACGGTGAAAGAAACTAATCTCGTATTGTAAAGTAGATGCGAGACCATGTTGTTAATTGAATTTCACAGGGTGTTATTGTAAATGAACTGTGAGTGAATAACTAACAAACAAGCCCTGAATTATAGTTTGAATAGAATAAGATGATGATGATGATGATGATGATGATGATGATGATGATGATGATGATGATGATGATGATGATGATGATGATGATGATGATGATGATGATGATGATGATGATGATGATGATGATGATGATGATGATGATGATGATGATGATGATGATGATGATGATGATGATGATGATGATGATGATGATGATGATGATGATGATGATGATGATGATGATGATGATGATGATGATGATGATGATGATGATGATGATGATGATGATGATGATGATGATGATGATGATGATGATGATGATGATGATGATGATGATGATGATGATGATGATGATGATGATGATGATGATGATGATGATGATGATGATGATGATGATGATGATGATGATGATGATGATGATGATGATGATGATGATGATGATGATGATGATGATGATGATGATGATGATGATGGGAATAAAATGCCCTATTTACTACAATAACAATAAACATGTTTATATAATGGAAGGACGTGTGAACCACAATATGACGAAAGCAGATGTCGAATGTGCAATTTAGTGTTATGGGAAAAAGAAGTTCATGTTTGTGTGAAGGCGTTCACCAAACAACAACAACAACTACAATAATAATAATAATAAAAGGTTAGCTAGAGTACACACACGTGAAACGTGTTATCTATGCGTGTTACAATTAACTGGCATACCGAATACGTGAAAAGTTGGATATATATATATATATATATATATATATATATAGACCATGATCGTGACTTATTTTGATTTTTTTGTGTAAAGGCGTTCACCAAACAACGACAATAGAAATCATAGTAACAATAACAATGATAAAATGTTAAGTTGAAGATTGAGACGAAGATGGGAAGTGATTCATTTGTAAACAGAGTTTGAATTCCATCTCGATGGATATCTGAATGATCAATTGAGTGAAACAGTTACAGTTGATAAAATTTCAAGGCATTTCTAAACTCCTCATACCACCATGTCGACATTATGACAGAGTCAATATAAGGAGCAGCAAATCTCAATCTAATCTCACTTGATTCCGGCATCAACCATGTTAATCAATTGATTTCATTTTATTTGTAATAAGATTGTGTAACGTGCAGTGTTGCCTTGACAGTTCCATTGATGTTCCATTGATGATCTCAGTTAATCAGTAGTGAACAACTGCAAATATTCTACGCGGATATCAAGCTATTTCCTTGAACTATGCTACGCGAAATCTACTCACATGCTGTTTCCATATCATACTCACGTCAGTTTTACTATTTTTGTTGATCAGGATGAGATTGTGACCGCGATGGATTTTCTCACAAACAACAGTTTAGTTGGTTGGAAATCGACATCTGCGTTTAATAGTCAGTGCATGTAGCATGGATAATGATTGTATTGACAACGTGAGTGTGTGTGAGACATAATTGTTTTATGTTTAGCTTTACAGAGAGAGTGTTTCGGTGGAAATCTCAGTTGACTTTGTCACTGTGTCAAACCAATCACGCGTGAACCAGTACGAACAGCCTAGAATCACCTCACAATCCTAACTGGTTCTTCACGTGCTACCCGTCTTGTCTGTCGAGTCCAGAACACAATCTCAGCTTCCAATATATGGATCATGTATATCGGACATATGCAGTATGTTTGCAGGCAAATCAGACCCCAGCATACCACAAAGTAGAGAATGACAGTTATACAACATCGTGTCAAATGTGGATGTGAATGTGAGAGAGTGTAACTAATAGATTGGGAATAACTTAGCAATACTAAATCGTATATTATTAGTTATACCATAAGAATATATATGTAACAGTCGATCTATAAATTCCAGTAGTTAACATCCATTTATTCTTCGTGAGGATGTAACGAACCCGGATCGATGTTTCATAACACAATACTTCATTGATATTGTTGTGACTGGAAAACGATGACTATTGTAGGTTTCATTTGTATTTATCCGTTAAAATATTTCTTGCCCTCAAAAATCCCAGAATGAAACTTCTATACACTACAACTGATCACTTTACTCAGAGAAAGCATTCCGAATTCTCGATAAGAAAACCCAATCATTAAGAACGCTCATCTCTGATTACATTGTAGTCAACAGGTGTGAATCCAACCTGGTTGTATGTTCATGAGCGTTTAGTTGGTAAATGGTTATTGTGGAGAATGCAACACTAAATCAAGCACAAACATCAGTTATGAGCACATCAACATCGAATCGGAACTAGACTTAATTGACGAAGTAAATGACACAGTATCCTCAATTGTTTTAACATCAACATAGAATTGACCAAAACATGGGCATGTAAACTCGACGAAAATCACCGTGAGAGCCGTTATGACTATTCATAATGAAATAAATGACCAATACAGTTTGCATTCATCCAACTGGTTAGAAATTATTCATTTCCAATGAGCAACCACCCAATTGGTCAATTTGTGGATATGGGAAATTCCACCAATCAATTGATTCATCTCCACTATATAAACAACGGCAGCAGTAGTAGTTGTAGTCGAACAATAAACCATTTCCTATACATTTCAAGTTACATCAAATGATTCAATATTCATTCGTGATCACTGTATACATTTCAATTCATCTTTCATATTGTTTGCACACACAAACAAATGTGACAAATCATTCGACATTGTTATCCTCATGTGAACAGTGCCAGAAATGTAATACAAATATGCATTGCAACTACACACAATGGATAGTCAAATTGGGATTGCCAGAGAAGACATTCTCACAAAACTACTGGTTGAATTCAGTCCGAACGAAATCAGACTGCCTTACTGAATGCCGATCTCATCCTCAGTGTAATCTATACACATATCAAATTGTAAGTTTAACATACATTTTCACTAAATATGTAATTGTCTAACTGATATATCACTGTATATATACATACTTCCAGTTGAATTGATGATCACCGATTCATCTCAATATCAACATATTCTATTCTTAACAATAATATTATTGTTATTATTAGTTGTAGAGAATAAGGAACGTTTGCAATTATTGACTGTATGGAGCGTTTCATTGAGATGTCAAGTGTCCCATTTGAGCTATTATTATTACCATTTATATTAGATGGAATGCTACATCCATCAACCATTTGATGTATGAATTGCAGATAGACGTTACCTTTCAAACTTCTCCTTATTTACAGCTCGAATCGAAATGGTGCAATCTGTATTCTGGACTGATTGAAAACGCTACGATAAACATCGATTCAACTGAGCATATGACTGCAGGGAGAGTGTGTTGTTTTAAGTTGAAATCGTGTTTATGATGGTCATATTATTAATAATAATCATAATCATAATCATAATCATAATGAGGAATGTTTCGAATATCCAGTGTGACTAGGGTCAGTGTAACATGGTTTATATGATTGAGGGTAGTTGTGTTGTATTTTATTTCGGTGAACTGAAATAACACACATCATTTGTGAATATGTAGTTGGCATAACGAAAGAAGCAAGTGTTTCCATGCAAAGTTGATCAGTAGATCTTCGCTAATTGTTACTGATAAATGCTCTGTATGTCCATTATCCATAGAAATGTCAGTCAGTCAGTCAGTCAATCAGTAAGCAACGGTTGACGGACGTTACAGAAAAGTGTTAAGTGAAGTTCACTAGTGAGATAAGTTTTGTGTAAGTGTGTGTGTGTGTGGTTGAAGTCCCAGTCAACATTCTCGGAACTTCAGAAATTTTAGAAAGCCTTCACTAACAACATTTTTCTTAGAATCACTAACCACAATTTTTAAACTTCTCTCATCGAAGCAACTCCTTCCACTAATATGTTTGCAAAGTTGCTTCACACATCTGATATTCCTCGAACCAGTAAACTGTAGAGTATTAAACATGAATAAATAAGAATGTTTGTGGTAAGTGAACGGACAAGTTTACACTATGAACTACGTATAATTCGTGGTAATCGCAATCAATCATCCTAATGAAAGTTCTTATTAAGTAAACTGTATGCTGAATATCTATCTGTTGAATGTTAGATATCAGTGAATATTTTATTGCAGTTTTATGTTTGCGTAATTGGTTTGCTCTAATGTGAGTCAATCATCTATGTACATCGGTAGCTCTTTCAAACCATCCTCTTCTTGTTTATCTTACATTCTTAAACCACTGTACACTTCCTTGTGCATTCAGTGAAAGTTGTAAATGCGTTTCGTTCCTCTACTTACTACTGTACTGTACTGTACTGTACTGTACTGTACTGCATTGCATTGTACTTCACTGTGTCAAACATTCTGTGACTAAATGTAAATAAACTATTCACTCGTTGTTGACGAAGTGTCGTTCTTTCGAAAAAAAAGTTGAACATCAAATGTATAGTCGAAAGGACAATCGTATGCATTGTAATTGACAGGATGATTGGATCGTGTTTCTTTTCATGGATAACACTGAACTATTTGTGAATAATCTGAATAGAAACTGACGAAATTGTAGTTGATTGTTGAACGAGTAGGTTGACCGATTCGATTATCTCAGTAAATGACACCATTTGACTGATTACGTCAAACGGAACATTTAAACTACTGAAATTATTAGTCCGTCTTACGAAACCGATCATCATCATCGGAATTATTCCGTTCACTTGTTATAAGGGAATTAGTACATTGATCACATAAACTAAAATATGAAGCAGTAAACGCTTTTAATCTTGTATATATCAGTTCGTAAACGTTCGACTAAGAAGATCGATTATTTCGTGTTAGATCTATCAAAGCGTCCAGGTCACTAGATTGAAATATGCACAAAATTGAATTTCGCAAAACAACCATTTGTCTAGATTAGCGGTTCATTATTGAAAAATACACAAAAATTAGAAACAAATGTCAGTTTTTTAGGTGTCTGTGACGTTTACCGCATCCGTTTTTATGAAACAAAAGACGCTTCCTGTAACAGTAACACAACGAAGAATTACAACATACGATAGAGCAAATGACAGCTGCTAGTTGTGTCTAAACTTGGTAACAGTTCATCAATATGCAACACCCGAACCAAGAGCAGTACAATTTGGAAACTGTTGCGTTTAAGCAGATGCACAAAACTGTGGATAACTGCTACAGTGATTTAGAAAAAGTAATTGCAATGATAAATACAATAAACGTTATAAGCGTGTGTAAATATTTCATAAGAATATGACACGACCAACTTGCCTGACAACATAAGCGTGAAAATTGTTACGAATACAACCACTTACTGAATATTATTATTAAGTAGTATAAAACAATACGCAAAAGAGTGGTATTGAAGCGAGTATGAATAATGTTATACTAACTAAACAATTCGTGTTGAAACATCTTCCAAATACACAAATGTACAAATATCGATCAAGTACGTGTTGTTCTGATTAGCAATGTAAAATACATCTGTTCAACAATATGTTGAGATTTGTAGTTAGGAAACTGAGAAGTGAAACAAGCACTAGGTTACATGAATTATAGACTTAGTAAACAAAAGTCAAAATGATTTATACTACAGATTAAGCACAACTGTACAGTGTACAGTACAGTGTACATTCAGTATGTGCATTTGAATAAATACCAAGCAATGATGAGCGGAGATCTGTTGAAATTTTATCAAAAATAGATTGAGTACAGTGATGGTCAATTGATGACGTTTGCACAGTTGATGTTACACTCCACATATTTTCCACAGTTAAGATGGATGAAGGAAATTGGGAAAAGATTGTGTTTGCTCTCAAACCTATAGTAGTAGGATGAAGATAGAATGAGGAATCTCTTGGAATGAATTATTGCTTCAGAATAATATTCCGATTCATGCATATTGTAGTCGAATTTCAAATCTGTAATCAGTGATTACATGTTGTACAAATCTACCTTACTGTTTACATATTGGAACTGATCAAATTTATCACGATTGTTTGTGGCAATGCGTTATCGAGGTGAAAGGAATCATATGGTTGGATGGTGGATTCGGACATTTGGTGGATGATAACAGATCTCTATTCTAGTCGAACGACCATCCTTATATTATCCATAAAGTGTTAGGCTGAAAGGTTCCATGATGTTCACCGTTGCAATTTCAGACATCACAAGTCTACTTCGTAATTGTCATTGCTGATTTGTACTACGTGTCCACACACAACTGTTGTCCATATCTCAGTCACTTTCACGTTAATCAAACACAATAGATATACAAGGGTGACTGCAATCATCATTTGAAGAGTATGAAATGCAAAATATGTGAGTGAATCTGAATTGAA